CTTTTCGCTTGCCGATTTTGGACGGGCGCGTTCACGAACAGGTGTCTTCCGTACTGTTTTTTACAGTGTTTTTTGAAGCAAGCGTCACGACCTATCAAAAACAGGAGGTTTTGGCCGAAAAATGCCCCCCCCCCCCCAGGTAAACCTGTAACCTTTTACGAGTGCCATCCGGAAGATCACGCCCCAGCACCTTCGGTGCGGGCGGATTTGCATGTGGCTTGTCAGTCATCCCTGCAACATGGGTTGTTGTGGGCCGGACCAAGCGAAAAGCATGTTGTCCCGAGTGCTGGCCATATCATTTATCATCGATCGCCATCTCAAGCACGTTTGAAGCCATGTTTTAAATTGAGTTGACATCTTTGAAGGTTTCTTGCCAGAAAAAAAAAACTCATTAACGGGCTGCCTGATGTTGGCCATCGCCAAAACCCGACTTTTTTGGGCCTTACTGAAGGTGCTGGGGTCCAAGAATCCCGTCCGCCTCAGCTTCGACGTTGTTTCAACCCGACGTCTCTGCTGGGAACTTAAGAAACTGACGCCACTGCGTGGTATCAGGCAACAAACAAACTTTAAGTTTATGTACTTAAGAAACAAACTGTTTCGTTTTTTCAAGCAAACTTTATACATGGACAACGTTTGATACGTTCAAAAACAAATGGCTGGTTGGTATTCCTATCCCCATTTCTTGCAAAAGATTGAATTTGACCGAGTATAAGTTTCACCCTGAAATCACTGTTTTTTTTTACATCTTGTTGTTGACCAACAAAAAAAACCATCGATCCCCATTCTTGTGAATCATCATTTTTTCCCATTCCTAAATGGGATATAATTGACCATTAACTAGAAATTGAAGTGATTATTGATTATTATATCATTTAATTTACACGTATGTATATATATATATACATATTGTGGGGCATCATCCATTTTCCAACATAGCCAATTGGAAGATTTGACTCTCCTCCGGACACCGGGCCCCCCGGACGTGATATCAAAGGCCGCCAGCTGCTGGCGGATGGCGTCTTGGAGCGCCGCACTCCCGCGGGGCCTTGGTGATTCATGCTGGGGTGCTGGGGTACCCTAGTTTTCAACCAATTTGTATGTTTATAAACCTATCTATATATTAATATATATATATTATTGTGTGATGTATAATATAATATAATGTATAATATAATAATATGTATAATATAATGTATATTGTTTTAACATGTGTGTATACATCTCTACATCATGATCCTCTTCAAAAATGCCATGTACCTTTCAATGGATTGGCGTTCCAACGACAATTTTCCAGCCACATGAAACTATTTTTTACATCCAACGACAAGTTTTGATTGACTTTACCCCTAGGATCCCGTAGGTGAATGATGGATTACTGCAGCTGTGGAAGGGAAAATGAGTCATTTCACTTTGATCATTGGATTGGTTTAAGGGAAAATCTACAGGAAACCCATGGGTTTTTACCATCAAATATAGGGCTTTCCGGTTAAAATTTTCCCATCATCCAATTCTATGATTTGAGGGATACAGAAATATCATTCACCGTCAAAATGCTTCATCCGACGAGGCCGAGAATCATGACAAAGCCAACGGTGTTCGAAGCCCGAAATGGCATCCGAGCTATACAAGTCTGACTGCTAGTCTGCTACTCGGATTTCCCGGCTCATGGATTGTGATCATCCGCAATCTCCTATAAATATAAATTATATTGGCTAGTATAATCCCATATAATCATCAACCAACCATCATCTATCAACTATATCACCATTTTGGATAGTCAAAAGCCCATATAAACCCAAAAAAAATCAAGGTCTTTGACGCACTGCGCCTGTTAAACGAACTCTGGCCCCCAGGCCCAACCGCAGCTGCACGCAAGGTAGCCACCTGAGCCAAGCTTGGGGCCTAAGTTCAGCTGGTGATTTCGAATGTGGTAACTCCAAACATCACCATATTTATTCTGTAGGTTACCATGATTTTTCCAATATGTTTTCCATAGTCCAATATTCCATGATCCTCTATTAGAATCTATGCCATTATTTTTCACCGTATTTATTCTGTAGATTGATGTGGTAATATGTGGTAACTTTAAACCAATTTTGTCATATTGGGAATCGTTTAGGGTTTAGGGTTTACTACATTAGTTCTTGTCCTACCAAAGAAGAGTCCTTCCCCAATTACTTCGAGTGATTTCCAGCACACCTTGGAACACATGAAGTCGAACGTCTCGTTTTACCTTTCACAGGAGCCAACATTTCCACCACTCATGTAAATCATTTCACATTTACCTGAATTTTACCAGACTTTTACAAGATTTCCCATTGCCCAGCCATCGTTTTACCTGGTAAAATATAAGTCAATGGGAATTTCAGGGGTTCCCCAAGCTTGATTCTCGTATCACCTTTTTCAGCCTCCATGAAAATCATAAAATGCTTGGTGGATGGTTGGTGTATATCTATTTCTATTTGAAAAACCAGCAATTCTGAAAAATCCATTTAAATCCCCAATTCTTCCAGCCTTCTCCAATTATTTTTTGACAGCTGGCTGTATCATGATAACATCCCATTCTATTCTCATGGAACGTTCAGGATACCGCCTGAAGGGTCACTACCAACAGCTCGGCATTAGAGGCTTCACGAGACCACCATCAACCCCTTTTTTCGCTAGTGCCCCCAGTTAGAAATGTTTTTGTTTGGCAGCCCATTGTATACCTTTTTGTTTGGCACCCCATTATATACCTACTACACAATTATACAAAGTCTACCCTACAGTAAATTGACATAGAACCTGAAAATAACATTTTTTAGTTGAAACATGTTGAAACGAATCTTCCAAACACTATCTGCTGGGGTGTGTGTTAATTTACCAGAGGGTAAATCCAATCGTCAACATGACAACCAACTCAGTATAATTAAACCAACTCGGCTAAGGACCTCGGGCACCGGAGCATATTTCTTTCATTTTCAGATGCTTTCAGATCTATCTATCTATCTATCTATCTGTCTGTCTATCTATCTGTCTATCTATCTGTCTATTTGTCTATCGGTCTATCTGTCTATCTGTCTATCTGTCTATCTACCTATCTACCTTTCTTTCTATCTATCAATCTACGAATATTGACATATACTTACTTTTGCTTAGCGGAATTTTAGAATTTTTTTGGGCCTTGTTTTTCTTCAAAGTCAGGGGAGTGGCAGGGGCAGCTAAAAACGAGAATCAAAAATAACTTTGAAAGAAGTAAACGAGAAAACCATGTGTATAATAGAAACCTGTTTCCTACCACTGTGCAGACGCATGCCGAACCATCATATATCTCCTATAAGAAATGAAGTTTCAATCCCATTAGACTTCGTTTGCTGACCTGATAAACAAAGAAGCTTCAGACGAAACTTGCAAGGTGGGATGCAACCGGTAAATCCATGTACGGAAAAAAACACCAAAATAACTTTGCATGGTTTCAACGAGAAATGTTCCTTCGGGGAACGAGGAAAGGAAATAAGTTTCTGAATCTTGAAGCATTGGAACCATTGAGGCTGCACGCGTTTCATTTTAGGCAGAGCAGCTAAATCTGATCCCTAACGTCCCAAAAATGCCAGCACATTGCATGTGGCAGGACGGCCGGAGCAGCCAGACCTGCCGTCTGCTTGCTGAGCTATCGAAATTTCAAAATTTTCGACTTGCTTTGCCAGTGCATGAACAGGACTAGCCGGAGCAGCTAGTTCCTGTCACACACACAAGTCGTACAAGCTAGGCGGCAACCAGCGGGTCCCAAACGTCATCCTCCTCTTCGTCTCCTTCATTGTTGTCATCGCCATTGCCATCCTGGTTTGTTTTTATTTTTTTAGGCGGAGGCTCCTCAGTCGCCTTGGCTTTCGGCTTGGGCTTCGGTTTCCCAGACGCATTTGCTTTCCTTTTTTTGGTTTCTGTCTTTGCTTTTGGGCCTGGCTTCGGCTTCGGAGTCGGAGTGTGGGTCACGACGCCGATGGCTTGCGCATAGTTGTTGTTGAACAAAGGGCTCGACGGGTATGCCATGCTGGTTTGCATCAGGTCAAGTCCCTCCAACAGCTTGCTGTGGACCTCGTTGTAGGTGACACCAAGGTAGGCCACTCTGTTCTGCAAACAAGCAAAAGCTAGTTTGCCATCTGCTGCCCTCAGATCCACATCCATCTTCCCAAAGAATGTGTGCAACAGCTCTTCCATCAGCTCAATGGGAGGGCTGAAGAAGCACACTGGCTCTGGCGCGTCCTTCGCACGGTCATTGACCTTGGGCTCGTCGTCCATATTCGTCCATCCTTCTATTTTGCCTCCCACAGAGATGAGGTGCTTCTTACCATAGAGGTCCTTTTTCTGAGACCATTTCAATGTCCATTCGTCCGAAAGCCTGGGCAAGAAGTTTCTGGAGAGAGCCTTGGCCGGAGCAGCCAATGGCTCTCGTGTCCGAGGCAGGGAACGGCCGGGTCAGAAATACCACTAAAACAACTGGAGCCAAAAGCGACGACGAACGAGTATTTGGAAGCTCCTAAGGAGAGGTCAAATCGTCCTCTCCTTAGGAGCATCGCTAACGACGGCGATGCTCCTGAGGAGAGGACACGGAGAGGACAATGGTATGTTTTGCATGATCGCTTAACGGAATTTCAGTTTCGTCCTCTCCGCGTCCTCTCCTTAGGAGCATCGCCAACGACGGCGATGCTCCTAAGGAGAGGTCAATGCTCCTAAGGAGAGGTCAAATCGCCCTCTCCTTAGGAGCTTGTCAGGGGCAGCGGAGAGGCTCCTAAGAGTCTTTCGTCTTGTTTTGCTGTCATGGATTTCGAGCTCGACGAGCAGCTGGCTTCTGCAAGGCCGCCGCTGTGCAAACATTTGCTACCATACAAAAATGAGGCTCCCAAGCGCCCAGGCCGGATCAGCCTGTTGCGTTCGTCATTGCTGCCTAAGTAAAACTAAGACTTCCAAGCGCGCAGGCCGGAGCAGCCTGTCACGCTTCTGCCAGGATTGGCGATCCGAACTCAGCCGGAGCAGCTGATGTTCGACTTGCCAAAGTCCACATGAAATTCCCCAGTGCGAAGATTAACATCCACACGGCCTTCGTGCACTGCCACGAAAAAAAAATCAAACCAGGTGCCCATGTCCAAGTGAACCCCTGCTTGGCTCACTTGCACGAAAAGTGCCATGAGCTCTTCAGCATGAAGAAACTCTTGCTTGGTATTGTTGGTGAGACCGCATTTAACGCCTTGCAGTCGCAGCGGCAACCCTGTGACAATGCGACGGTCTGGGGCTGCATCTAAGTCTGTCAAGTTGATTGCCGTCAAAATGTCCAAGGCTATCTCCAGGTCCCGCAAACATTTGGCAACGCCGGTGCCATGCAAGTGCTGCCGCATCCAAAAGAACGCATTTCTGCAATTTTCCACTCTGTCTGGCACTTCATGCAGCGGAAATGCTTTCAGTAATTTAGTGCGAGTTTTGGAAACAAGGGCGAGAAAACTTTCACGTTCATCCTCAAGCTTTGCAGCCAATCCCCCATGGCTGCCTGTAACCATGACCCAGCCTCTGGGCATGCAGGATCCATGTCCATTTGCTTGACAGCCGCATCCATTTGGACTTGCCATCGCCAGACCCAGCGCATGCAGCCTTGGCCGGATCAGCCAAAGACTGCATGGCGCTGAATGTGGCTTTGGCCGGAACAGCCAAAAGCCATCCGCGGACAAGGACAGGAACTGCAGCAGTTCAGAGCCCAACGCCACGAGAAAAGAAAATAGCGCATGTGCTATCCCTAATAACTTTTCTGCCTTGAAACGTGTTTCAGAAAGGAGACCCACGAGAAAAACACAAATTACATTGGTGACATAGCTGCTGGGTTGAACCTAACGCTTCCAAACATTAAATTAAGAGTTCAATGGTCATTTCCCGACTGGAAATCACAGATTGACAGCTGTTTCCAAGTTACCCAGCAAAGTAAAACGCAATGGCGGGTTTACGGGGTCCCTGGTTTTGATGCAGAAAATAACTTTGCTGAGAGCAAACGAGAAAAGAAAATTAGAAATTTACAAAGAAAAAAAGCAAACATGTTTACACAAAAAGTAGTCAAAAAAAAATCTAAAATTCCGCTAAGCAAAAGCAAGTATACACATATGTTCATGTTCATATTCATGTTCTCTTCTTGGAGGGCATGCTTTCATTTGGGTGATTTTGGGTCCATATGTCGAAAGTATGCCCTCTTTGGCCCGAGAGTAGCCAAAACCAGTGTTGGACCAATCATAGTGGGTGCAATCCATGGGACCCATTTCAAGGCATACTGGTTGGTGGTTGAGCCAGCCCTCTGAAAAATATGAAAGTCAGTTGGGATGATGACATTCCCAATATATGGAAAAATAAAAAATGTTCCAAACCACCAACCAGCATATAGTTCAAAGCCAACCAAGTGGCAGGTAGCAGAGCCTGCGGACAAGGCGATTTTGTTCAGCAACTCAAATGGGTAGCGCTTACGTCCGCGGGGTCGCAGATGGCACGGCCTAGTACTCCCTCTCGACAACCAAATCCAGGAAGAGCAAGGAATCCCGATCCACAGGAGTCCTCCACGTGTCAAGCGCAGCTGCAAAAGCAGCCAGACCAGTTGCCAACATCAAGTTGTGGTGACCGCGGCCACCCTCAATGACCTCAATGAGGATTAACTTACTGGTGCGAACTAAACACAGGGAATTTTCGGGAATGATCCACTTTCATCATCCCAGCAACCCCCAGCAACCCATCCAGCAACCCTACGTAAAACGCACCAGTAAGTCAAAGTATGTCCCACTATACCATTGAAATAGTGGACTTTTCCCATTAAAAATTGTGATTTTCCCATGAAAAATGGTGATTTTCCCATTAAAAATGGTGATTTTCCCATTAAAAATTGTGGATCCTTCCATTAAAAATGGTGGATTTTTCCCATTAACAATGGTGATTTTCCCATTAAAAATTGTGATTTTCACATTAAAAATGGTGGATCTTTCCCATGAAAAATTGTGATTTTCCCATTAAAAATTGTGATTTTCCCATTTAAAATTGGTATTTTCCCATTAGAAATGGTGATTTTCCCATTAAAAATTGTGTATCTTTCCCATTAAAAATGGTGATTTTCCCATTAAAAATGGTGGATCTTTCCCATAGCCCCCCCGATGCCAGGCCTCTGCTATGGCCTGCCACAGTGCATCGGTGAGCTCCGATGCGCCGCTTGGGACACCTGGGGCCTCAGCGGGAGATCGGGGGGATGGATCGCTGGGGCCATCGGAAACCGAACTTTCCCATTGATTTATATAGAAAATTGGTAATAACTACTACTATTATTGGTTAATAACTACTATTGATCACTATTGATCACTATTAATAACAATACCCTCTGGTAAACGTTTACATAACTATGGAAAATCACCATGTTTAATGGGAAAACTCACTATAAATGGCCATTTTCAATAGCTATGTTAGTTTACTGGAGGGTTTAACAGGCGCAGTGCGTCAAGACCTTGATTTTTGTTGGGGTTTATATGGGCTTTTGACTATCCAAAATGGTGATATAGTTGATAGATGATGGTTGGTTGATGATTATATGGGATTATACTAGCCAATACCCATGACGGATCCATGGTGCTGGTATATATATGCTAACATAAAGGGGGTATATTGATGGGATCCATGTTACCATATATAGCAGCACCATGGATCCTATGGGAATGGGAAAATGGCATGAACTATCATGAAATGATAGCTGAATGGGATGATTTGGAGGAACCAAATAGGGAAGTCATTTTTCCATATCTATGTCAGTTTCGCCGAGGTTACAATCAAAACACTGGTTTGAAATGTGTAAATGGATATAAATCGATATAAAATGATATAAATGGATATAAATGAGACATTTTCCGAGGGCAGCACTTGGTGGTTCCATCTTTTTCATTATTTTTCTACGTGTCAAGATGACATAGCTGGTCTTTTCAGTGCACGAAGTTCGCTTGGATAGCCATAGCTCCGAACTGCTTCTTCCTAACCACTATGTAAGCTGATTGCAAAGTAGTGAATGCACCAAGTATGGGGACAGGTGGACATGCCGGGAGATTGACCAATCTTTGTCATGGCTGGTTGATGGTTGCTGCGAAACTCAACTCCACATCTTCGTATACAGGTGTTTGTATACAGAGGCATTACAGAACTTCAATGTATTTTAAACAACCCAGAACTTCAAAGGACACCAAAAAATCACCCAGTCACAACGCCTAGGTTTAACCTAGCCTTTGTGAAGCTAGGCAATTTTGATGAAATTACAACTTATTAATACTTATTATATGTGAAAAGGCCGTGAAAAGCCCGTGAACATATGGTTCTTGATGTTTTCCATAATTTCCTGTAATTTGGGTAAATTGTAGCCTTTGAGTTACATAAACCTGTCCTTTGTGATAACGGACTTAGTAAACCTATCCTTTGGAAGCATTGGGCAATGATAGATTCTTGTACAAGAGCACCATGCTCGATTGGTCAATGTTCCGGTTGAAATCATGATATGGCAAACATTGTCACATATTGTACGTATGCATCATTTGGAGATGAACATCATGCACGGCCCAAACCTATGCACTCTTTCTCTTCGAAGACTGAGTTCCCATCCGCAGGGGCTGCAAAACCAAGAGCTTGAACGAACCTCAGTCGAAGCCAGGGCAAGCCAGGGTCCACTGAACAGCTGGAGCATACCCTCTGGTAAACTAACATAACTATGGAAAATCACCATTTTTTATGGGAAAACTCACTATAAATGGCCATTTTCAATAGCTATGTTAAATTACCAGAGGGTACAATGGTTGGAGCATGTTGGGGCAACGCCAACAGCCCGCTTTCCAGGTGGAATTCTGAGTGTCCCCTGCTCCTCCCTGGACACCGTGCCATCGCCGTCCTGACCAAAAAACGTGTTGAAATGTGTTGAAAAAAGCATGTGTCAACATCAAAACCTCAGTCAAGTGAGGCTTACCATCATCATTTCTTTGTGAATTCTATCGAAATGGCTACAAATATCTATAAGACTAAGAGCAAACGCATTGATCAACCATTGATGTGGCGTGTTTTTTTGGGTGATGGCTCAAACATGGAGTGCCTGTTGGGACCCACGAATCTCTCACATATTCTCAGTATTCAACCAAATGGGATTCAATCTGTTTTGAGCCAACCCTGCTTGATTGTTACCTTCTGGTAATCAAACGTTGCAATGGAAAGTCCTCTATACCGGAGGATTCCGGAGATCCATTCAGATGCTTTAATGTGAACCCCTTCATGGACAATTCACTGTCTGGTTTCCCAGATAAGGAATGGGTCATTTTCACTCTGGTACCATTTTCAGATCCCAAACGATGTTGCGTAGTCATCTAATCATGTCAGGATATGAAGAACAGCCTAATTCTGCATGTATTTACTATTGACCCATATAGAGAGGGAACCATTCAGTCGACCATATGTTCTGCGGACTTTGCATGAACCTTAGGGTCAATTAGGTTGATATTCCTCCATTTACACTGTCAAACAACTATGGTGGACATGTGCTTCCTATATCCCATGTTCAACCAAACCCATTTGCTACTCATGGATGCTGAGTATATTGCTGATTCATATCCCCCTATCCCCATTGTTAGCACTTATTGAACAGGCTACATCTTGGTTCCGTAATTTCCCCATTTCCGGGTAAACCCACATCATGTTGATGGTCATATGCATCTATATATATATATATTTATTTATTTATATTTGATATATATATATAATGTAACATACATATTTCCAATTACATGCTTTATATTCCCGTAATATCGGCATAACCCAGACTTTACCCCCCAAAAAAACAACATCTTCCCATGGTCAAACTCCAGAAACCCACCTTATCAAAGCTGTGCCAAAGGCCATGCAAATCAGGCTCGGATAGTGATGACCTGAGGGAAGTCCGCTGCGGGGCTCGATATTTTCCGGGAAAACCCAGTGATTCTACAGGAAAACCCAGCTGAAGACTAATCAATACTAATCATCTCTGTTCAACTAATCATCTCCATTAAGTGGATTATAATCCCATTAAACCACATTAAACCCCATTAAACCCCATTAAACTTCCCTCCGGTAATGGAAAATACCCTCCGGTAATTTAACATAGCTATTGAACATGGCCCATAGAAATAGTGGATTTACCCATTGAACATGGTGATTTTCCATAGTTATGTTAGTTTACCAGAGGGTAGTTTGGTTTCTAATATTTTCTAATGATCTCGAATTACTCTCCTGCATGACGTAGCCAAGGAAAATTGCCCACTGATGGATGATTTACCTCTTTTTACCCATGGAACATGGAGGTTTTCCATATAACCATAGGGTAATTCGCAGTCATCTCCATTTTGGGGAACTGAGAACCCATCAACCTCGGGCTGCTGGGTCGCCCCAACGATACTCCCTGGAAAAAGGCGCAAAAGGCCTCCCAGCGAACCACCTGCGCATCAAGGGAAAAGGCTGGGCAGGTAATATTTTGGGGTACCCCAAACCCGTGGATTTCAATACTACAACAGTACTACAAGAGCCCAAATTTCGGAAGATGTGGTGGTATAAGTATACCCTATTGATAGATATCAAACCACTTTGGAGGTGCAGCTGGGGCGGAAAAATGGGTATAACAACCGTGGTTATTTCACCACCACAAATTGGCATATAATCTCGTTCATTGTGGCGAAAATGCACTCATTATCTCGAACTGCACCCCCAAAGTGCAGGGCATTGGTTCCAAAATTCGGGTGTAGAGCGTTCGCGCTGGTATACCTTGGAAGGAGCTTCTGGGCCCGCTACTGTGGAGCAAACATTCCCCGGCATCTTTCACGACTAAATGAGACGGTAGAAACTCTACTCTTGTCCCCTTCGTTTACCCAGAATAAGATGTAAGATTGGTTCTCAACTTCCTTTGATCATCCTATTTCTGGGGCCAAACTTAGATACTGGGTACGTTTGGTATGCGGAAAAAAAAAATCAAATTTCAGCTGGTTGCAGCAATCAAAAATCAGCCATGATGTTCTTCTAAGTCTAGCACAGAGTCCTTCTATTTTACTTGTTGAACCCCGCTATTTCTTGCCATTTCTTGCCTAAACACCTACTTGCATCACGTTCGATCATTATCGTGGAGTAATTTATCTGGATTAATATATTGGATTCATATGGATTAATATGGATCATTGATACGGATCACTAATATGGATTAATTTTTACACAATCCATATTAATCCATATTAATCCAATATATTAATCCATATGGATCCATATGGATCATCACTATGGATTAACACAAATCATTTCTGGCGTCACCAGCTTTTATCTCCCCAGGTTTTGCAGCGCCTGATTTTCCGCCAGGGCGTCGAACAGCTGCTCCACCGACTTGCCTTGTTGCTGCAGCAACTGCCTGGGAACGTGGAGGGACGGGAGGCCACCGGGACTCAAACCAACATCCAATGTCAGTGGTTGAATATGATATATATATATATAATATATGTATATATTATTATAATTATATATATATATTATAATAATTATATATATAGGTGTACTTAAATTTGCTATTACTGTGTATATATGTGAGCTACGTCCAAAACTCTATTGCCCCAAAATGGAATATCTATTTTTCCTTCGTTTTAAAGGGTCACCTTCGTTTTACAAGGGTTTCGACCAAACCTTCACAGATATACGTGCGATATCGCGCAGTCATCATTTCAATGGCAGCAGCAATGACGTAGCAATAGCAAAAGTTATAAAAACAGTGCCAGGATGTGCTAGGATTAGTACTGTGACTCGTAGAAGCGACAAAGGTGCTAGAAGAAGCAACAGTGGCAGCGCAAGCAGCAGGAGCAGGAGCAGTAGCAGTAGCAGCGGAGTAGCACTAGCAGTGGCAGGAGCAGTGGCAGTAGCAGTGGCAGTAGCAGCAGTAGCAGTAGCAGCAGCAGTGGCAGCAGCAAGTGACAGCAGCGACAGCAGTGACAGCAAGTCACAGCAGCAGCTACCAGCAGCTACCAGCAGCTACCAGCAGCTACCAGCAGCTACCAGCAGCTACCAGCACCAGCACCATCAGCATCAGCAGCAGCTGCATCAGCAGCAGCAGCAATTGCGGTGATGCCGGCGCTGTTGGTGCTTTGCTGGTGCTGGTAAGACAAATGCCTGCAGCAAAAGCACAACTAGGCCCCGCAGTGGCAATGGTAGTTGTCGCAGTAGTAGCAGGATGGGGAAGAAGGTTTGCCTGCTCCTGGCCAGGTTCATGCCAAGCTGCTTGTCGTGAATTTTGCCTTCGTTTTTGCCTTCGTTTTGGCTTCGTTCCAGAACGCAAAACCAGACGGGAAAACGAAACCGCAGGATGAAAAGAATACTTGCAGGCGGAAAGCAGAAACTTGACAAAATGTAAATGCAGCAGGAGGAAAAAGGAAAAAACAAACGGGACCAACAGAAAGAAACGAAGGCGGAAAGGAAGCCAACAGAAACTGTCACAGGAAAGGCATGAAAGCAAGAAAGGAAACAAAAGGAAGACAAGGGAAAACAGGTAAAGACCAAACGACAATAACTCCATGATACACCATTCTTATCATATCCATTCTTGACGTTCGCTGCTCAAATGGAAATCTATCAACAAACTTTAGTTGTAAGGTTTGCCTTCGTTTTAAAGGGTCACCTTCGTTTTTGCAGGTTTTGAGCTAGATTCCATTCCAATACATATCCCTTACATAGACCTTTTTGGTGGTAGCCCATGTGTATATATAATATTGTTGAAATGATTGGACACATAATATCTCTTATATATGTATTATACTAATGTATATGATATATATATAATATGAATATTTGTATTGGTTGTAATCATAGTTATGAAGCGCTAACTACATGTAATATACATCTATGTGTCAAGCCACCCCCGGAATAAAGCTTGATTGAAATCAATCCAACTCATATCATATTTCTGGTAAGAATATTATACTGAGAGCCCACATGAGCCTACATATTCTCTGAGTAAATTCTCATATGTCACCTACGGTCATTTCGATGGTTCCCCTTTCCTAATCATTCTTATCATTGCCATCGTGGCGACGTCGTCGTAAATAAATCAGCCAGTTGCAAACAAATGCCATTCCTGGGAGCTGCTTTAGGACGATCGCATTTGGCCGTTGGTATATGGAGATATAGTTAGAATCTCTTTCCACATAGGACAATTCTCTTTGGGGAGTTCTAGCCTTACAAGTGGCTACAGTACTACCTACTGCTTGGCATGATCCTCGAAGTTCTCACAGAAACCATAGAAACAAAAAGGGGCATTGTCACCCCGCTTTGAGGAGGGATCTCAAGACTACTGCTAGGAGCCCCGGTCTATGATGTTTTTGCAAATTGGCAAGTGGTAGTTACTTAGTTAGGCTACTCCCTTTACCCTCTGGTAAACTAACATAACTATGGAAAATCACCATTTTTCATGGGAACATCCACTTTCAATGGCCATTTTCAATAGCGAACTGTTAGTCATCACCAGAGGGTAGAGTTTCAAGGGTGATCAACCAGTGGATTTGGGGGTAACCTGGGTAACCGCTTTTTCCAAACAAAGCCAATTTGGGACTTCCATCTTCCAGTTATTATATATATATATACAATGTGAGGCCCCCCAGTTATAAGTTGGTTTATAAGCCCCAGTAACTATAGTTATAAGTACCATAAACCATAGTTATTGGAGTTATAAACCAACTTAGCTATCTTGGGGGCCTCACATTGTGTATATATATATATAATATGTATATATATATATAATATGTATATATATATATATAATATGTATATATATATATAATATGTATATATATATATATATAATATGTATATATATATATACACCCTCTGGTTGTTTAACATAGCCATGGTATAGATGGCCCATAGAAATAGCTGGTTTACCTATTAATAGCATGGTGATTTTCCATGGCTATGTTAGTCATAACCAGATGGTATATATGAAAATATCACTGGTTATATGGACTGCAGAAGGCCAGTGGCGGCTAACCACCAGAGATGCACCCAAAAAAGGAGGACCACGAAACATCAATTCCTCGAATGGTTTTGATTTTCCCATTGAAAATCAGCAAGGGTTACCCTCTGGTAATTTAACATAACTATGGAAAATCACCATTTTTCATGGGAAAAACCATTATAAATGGCCATTTTCAATAGCTATGTTTGTTTACCAGAGGGTAATTACTGTCAACCCCGGATTAATCAAACCATGGTTAATTAACTATGGGGGTTACCCTCCAACCCCCAAGGATCAACGGCCAGGGTTTATTAATCCATGGTTGACATATTGTTCCCATGGCCAATCTATGATAGTCCACAAAAAATATATTATTTGCTGGTTCTGATGATTTTCCATTTATCGCAAACAACTAGATAGTTAACTAAAGGATTAAACTACCTATGGGGAGTTTTATATATCACTTACCCTCTGGATCCCTCGGGTAATTTAACATAGCTGGTGAATTTCAAGTTCGTTCTGTTAGTTTACCAGAGGATATCCAGTCGTCACTAAGACAAATTAATCGATTAACTACTACTATCCAAGGTTGGAAACTTGGGGACCTATATAACTTATATAACTTACACATTATACCCTCTGGTTATGACTAACATAGCCATGGAAAGATCCACCATGTTTCATAGGTAAACCATCTATTTCTATGGGCCATCTATACCATGGCTATGTTAGTCATAACCAGAGGGTATACATGATACAATGACATTATATATACAACTTACTAGACATGACTCACTCCCCTGCCCGGCCCATCGCCTTTTTGGACCCAAAAATTTCTCGCCCAAGGTGCGTCACTTGGCCGCAGACGTCCGTCACCTTCTGCACCACCAGCTTGGCGGAGGGCGCCATGGCTTTCAAAAACCTGGGGCATGGCACGAGTTTGGAGACGTTTGGATCCCAAGTTTGATCGTTTTTTGGGCACTAAACATAGACTTAGCTTTTTTGAGAAGTTCACCAAAAAGACTAGAAACACGAACTTCTCTGACTTAGTGAACCCTGACTAAACTTAAACTTTTTGAACAAACAGTGAACCTACACAGTTGTTCTGAGTTTCATAGCATTTCACCAGGAAACAGTAGAGAGTTGACCTACAAACTAAGCTTGGGGATGGACGAATAATTCAACGGCCGAAATTCATTGTCCATGTCCATTATATAGTGGTTGGTCAATATGGATTCGATGTTCATGAATCATGATTGCTGATCCCCAATATATTGGGCATAACCCCCATAATATTATATCCTACAATCATCAAGTAGCAGGGATTTTGAACATTGCTGAGTTGTGAATGGAACTAAACGATTGTAACCATGAACACATGTATGCATATCTATATATATATGATATGTATACAAACATATGTAATGTCTTCAAAACAAGACACATTAACACGCAACAACACGACAATAGACACAACAAACATCATAACAATAGAAAAAAAACAATAATGGAATCTACTCTCCACAGAAAATGATGTTTGAAGTAAGTTCTTGGACTACTGACTGCGCTTTGCGGCTTGTGCTGGCTCATGTTTTCTGTTCTTCAGGTTGTAAACCGAAATAAATAAACATCACAAATACCAAACACACTCATATCGAAGTGCAGGAGTGTGCAGAAAATAACCTTCCAAAGACCTATATGAAATAGTGATTCATGAAAAAAAGCAGGCACTGTATTCACATGTTTATAATTATAATATTTTATCTACCCTCTGGTTATTTAACATAGCCATGGAAAATCCCTTATAAATGGAGGTTTTAATGGGAAAATCATCTATAAATGGGCCATTTTCCATGGCTATGTTAAATAACCAGAGGGTATATTAATTAAATTTGTTGATTGCTATCATTGCTATCCACACAACGAGGCGATTTTCTGTGCTGCGCCGAGTAGCTCTTGGCGTGTCACTCCGCCGTCACCGTCCTGGGGTCAAAATTGGCGTTCGGGATCACCATCTTTGAGAAACCTAAGAAAAATCGGGTCAAAATTGGTGCTTCAATTTTATTAGGTGGATTTATTGCACCCAAAACTAGTTTCTAATGTTTCTATTATATTACCCAATTTTTGATTAATTCTGATCAATGGAATGCAATATAATGCAATGGAATGCAATGCAATGCACGTCTGTGCAGCAACACCAGAAAGACTCGACAATTGAAATCCTATGCAGACATAAATCACTTTTCATCACCTTTCAGTCTTTTGGGGTACTATGTGGCAATGTGTATATTTGATCCTTCGAATGGGAAGATTGTGCCCTCCAGCAATTTGGAGAAAACCCTACTGTTGACGACATTGTGGCTAGTACTGATGAGACAGACCCTTTGCACCATCAGTCTCACGTTGGAAATCATTAAAAAAACAAACCCTCTTGCTCCAACATGATCAGATTTGTGTTGGGCACCCCGCAGTAAACTTATCTGGTGGGTGGTATACCTACCCCTCTGAAAAATATGAGTTCGTCAGTTGGGATGATGACATTCCCAATATGATGGGAAAAATAATCCAAATGTTCCAAACCACCAACCAGATAATATATGTATATATACACTGTATAATATGGTAAATCATATGGTATATCTATATCATATCCATTCATATCCCATAAAATCCGGTTATGGTTGAGAAACTAATGATACTTATAATTACCGAACATCCACCATTTGTAGGTCATTTCCCCTGGTTTCCTCCATGGACTTCCATAGCTACGACACTTGGAAGCAGGGTAAAATACGGCAAGATCAGCAGATCCATTCCTTGTCAAAGCAGCGCCAAAGAGCTTGCAAATCTGGCAGGGTCAAGGAAGGCCTTAGGCTTCACACTGCCAGGCTTTGTCCAAACAAGTGAGGATTCATCCTTCATTTAGAACCAATGATAGCCATTGATCCCCAGGAAATGCCGAATATGTTTGCATCAATCGTTCGGAATCATGACTTGACTAGTAAAAATGGCTGTGTCGAAACAGGGAGCTATCCTGAATTGCAATGAATTGCAGCCATGAATAGCCATGTACAAATGTACAGAAATGGGAAAGAACACATCAATCATAGGAATTTGGGGTACCGCAGGTCGGCAAATCCTCGGGGGATCAGCGTGTCTTAGACGATCCATGAACTGATCGTGTGGCATCACTCATTGCCATCCCAGGAGTAGAATCGTGTTTGTATCCACATGTTCCTGGTAAATGTCATTTTTTGTTGATACCATCTGAATTCAGACCTATCATTGCTAAAAACACAATTGCCAACCAGCGATCGCGGTGATGTGAGTTCTTGATCCAACCAGAAATCAGGGTAAATCATCAGCTCCAGGAGCCCAGGATACGCTCCATTTCTTCTTGCTTCAACGTGCCTTCAACGTGCTAAAATTGGGGTCTTTGTAATCTTTGTAACGGTGATTTTCGCGGGATACATCCAGAGATTTGCTTGGGAAAACCACATGTTTTTGCTGGGTCAATGGATGAAACCCTCTGAGGGGTGAGTTGACCTGGTGAAAATCCAAATCTCGCTGGGCCATTTTTGGTGAAGCTGTCAAGGTCGACCTGTCAATCAGTAGCTGATTCAAGGTGGTGCCCCCCCCAGTTATGTAAGTTGGTGTATAAACCCCATTAACTACAATCAGTATATGTACTTCTAGCATAAATCCCAGTTAACCATAGTTAACCTAATTCTTAAGCTTAACTTACCAGTAGCTACCTATTTATTCCTATTTGGCCCCACCTCCTGCGTCTCTGAGTCGCCCCTGCTCAAGTTGCTGAAAGAGGCTCCGGAAGTCCTCGAAAGCCACCTGCTCCTCGAAAGTGAGCAGATGATAGCGGTGACATGTGCCCAATTTATTGCCACTAAGATCCAATAAGCATCATCTTTTTGGAGATAGATCCAATAAATGGAGATACAACCATAAATAAGTAATCCGTGATAATCCCATAAAATCATCAAGCACTCAGTCATAAACCATTTACCCACAATCTTATGATATAATAAATGTATGTACAATAAGAATTATATATAGGTATAATCTCATCCTGATATCCTGGATATGGGACGAATGGAGCATCAATCATGGAGATACAATCAATGAGGCCCTGCCAAATGCCCAAGGTCTTCAGCAAACATCAGAATATCCGATCCAATATGCACTCAGCTCAATCTTGGCAGTGTCTGGAAACTGGACAGTTGGACAGTTGTCTGGCTCTCTGGAATCAGGGATCATCAAAAGAGACATCCAATCATCAAAAAGGATTGACAAGAAAGCGAGCTCACATACCTTGGATAGGTCTCTCCACACCCACATGATCTCTTCAAACAACAGCTTGTTAATTGGTGGCAGTATCTCTTCAAATTGAACCTTGAGAATGCGCTCCCTGATCAGATCTGACCGCAAAATGGTGGATTTGGAATTCGGACATCCTCTATTGTTGCAGAAATGTAGACAAAACAGACCCGTGGAACTAAATGCAAGCTCTGGTGTGCATTGCATCAATTATAGAACATCATATAGAATCTAGAATATCTATTTTTCACAAACCTGAAATTAACCGCATTTTCGGGATGATTCCCCTCTTATAAACAATCACTTACAGTGAGGTCGGCCAGAGTTCGGTTGTTATAGTTTCCCAGCATTGAATTTAGCAAACAGCCTGTCAGATCTTATCAGCCTGTGGCAACTAGGATACCAAAATCTCACATGCCGCAATACCATGCAATACCCGCATCATCATAAAATGTTCTGCAAATGTTTTGCGTGCAATGCAAGGAAATCACAACGTGCTAACAACATAAACGCTGAAGACTGCTTGGCAAGCTCACTCCCTCCAGAGTCTTGTTGAAATCATTTCCGAATGTCAAGCTCTGGAGATTGTGCTTGGCAAGCTCACTCCTTCCAGGGTCTGGTTGAAAATATTTCCGAATGTCAAGCTCTGAAGACTGCCTGGCAGGGTCACTCCGTGCAGGGTCTGGTTAAAAGCCCAGCCAAGTGTCAAGCTCTGAAGACTGCTTGGCAAGCTCACTCCCCTCAGGGTCTGGTTGAAAGCCCAGCCAAATGTCAAGCTCTGAAGACTGCTTGGCAAGCTCACTCCTTTCATGGTCTGGTTGAAATCATTTCCGAATGTCAAGCTCTGGAGATTGCTTGGCAAGCTCACTCCCTCCAGGGTCTGGTTGAACATATTTCCGAATGTCAAGCTCTGAAGACTGCCTGGCAGGGTCACTCCGTGCAGGGTCTGGTTAAAAGCCCAGCCAAATGTCAAGCTCTGAAGACTGCTTGGCAAGCTCACTCCCCTCAGGGTCTGGTTGAAAGCCCAGCCAAATGTCAAGCTCTGAAGACTGCTTGGCAAGCTCACTCCTTTCATGGTCTGGTTGAAATCATTTCCGAATGTCAAGCTCTGGAGATTGCTTGGCAAGCTCACTCCCTCCAGGGTCTGGTTGAACATATTTCCGAATGTCAAGCTCTGAAGACTGCCTGGCAGGGTCACTCCGTGCAGGGTCTGGTTAAAAGCCCAGCCAAATGTCAAGCTCTGAAGACTGCTTGGCAAGCTCACTCCCCTCAGGGTCTGGTTGAAAGCCCAGCCAAATGTCAAGCTCTGAAGACTGCTTGGCAAGCTCACTCCTTTCATGGTCTGGTCGAAATTATTTCCGAATGTCAAGCTCTGGAGATTGTGCTTGGCAAGCTCACTCCTTCCAGGGTCTGGTTGAAATCATTTCCGAATGTCAAGCTCTGGAGATTGCTTGGCAAGCTCACTCCTTCCAGGGTCTGGTTGAAATCATTTCCGAATGTCAAGCTCCGGAGATTGCTTGGCAAGCTCAAGCTCACTCCCTCGAGTGTCTAGTTCAATGCATCTCCAAAAGCAATTGAAACAATACTTCTGGGAAGATGCTGTAAATACTGGCCGGCAATAGCGCCTTCTTGCCTTGTGATTCCCTGTAGTGCACACTCTCCAACACTGACTGGGAATCCTTCGATGTAGGAAAATGCAGTGTACAAATCTGTACGAACAAATGTGGGGTTGTCTGAAAATAGTGTACCCCTACACCCAATGGTTAATGATCATTATCCCTACTAAATGGCTATAATTGGGGGTATACCCCATTTTCAGACATACCCATGTACAAGAGAGCTGTGGTCTCACACACCATGCCTTGCTCCCGCAATGTTGGAGCAAACATGGGTGAATTCTTGTGACGGCTACTGGGCAGTGCCGGACATCATTGGGTGGCGCTGGCCCTAGGAGACGCGCTATTTGCCACGGGTTTTCCTGCTGCTTTCAATGGATTGAAGAGAAAATCTACAGGAAACCCTGGTTTTTCCAATATTTGGCCTGGCCTTCCTTCCTGCAACTTTACCATAAACCAATTCCAGGACCCTGCGACCATCAAGCAGTGTGAGACTTTTTTCCCGGGACTCAGCCAAAATGTGCAAACACTGTGCTGCTGGTTTCAAAGTCCCAAGGAAGAGCAAATGTTTGTCCAAAATGTTTGTCAATCAAACGGTTTCCCTGAAAATAGGGTATACGGTATACCGAAAATTCCAATGGATTCTAATCACCCCATTGAAATGGTGATTTGAAGGGTATACCCCATTTTCAGACACACCCCAACATCAGCAAATTTCTGGCGATGTGGCGATGCCTGGCCAGCAGACAAGGCGTCGAAGAGCTGCGTCACGGTGCGACCGTTTTGGAAGAGCATGGACCTGGATCCCAGGAACATCATGACGTATTCTTGATGTACTTATGTGCAAAATTATACACACATATCATGTATGCATAATGATATAGATAGATAGATAGATAGATAGATAGATAGACAGATAGATAGATAGATAGATAGAGATGTAGACATAGATATTGGGGGTTATACTTATGATGACTCTTTCATGTTCACTATTATTCCTAAACATGCAGGTCAGGATGTATTTATGCATGTAAAAGTACTTATGTATCAACATCGACCATCGGAGTTCTTAGGATTTCCAAGGTATCCACTCTTACCATCTCTTACCCGGCCTGGTAAACATACATATATAGCTATTGAAAATGACCATAGAAATAGTGGATTTTCCCATGAAAAATGGTGATTTTCAATAGCTATGTTAAATTACCAGAGGGTAAGGCAAAACCATGCCTCTGGGTTCCCAAACGCAACGCGTTTGCAAACGTCTTCGGTGTGGGCAGCAGCAGCTTGAGTAGCAGGAGCCAAAGCGCTAACAAACCTGGGTCCAGCACATTCCAGCACACCCACTGCCTACTGTAATAGTTACGTATGGTAGTTGCATATGGAATGAATATGTACAATTATGGGATATATCACACTAACCTTAGCGGGGGGTTTTGCGTGCCAGTTTCATGGGGTTGCAAATGGGTTCTAGCATGTTCTGGTCTTCCACAAGCAGAAGTACATACCAACCAGTTTGACAAGGATGTGCTATGCTTCAACAAGTTTGTGCACGTCACTAGCTGGGGGATGGATCAACCTTGGTAAAAGGTGGGTGCCCCCCCAACTTGGATTGCTTCATGCCGTGAAAAAATAGGAGGATCTAACATTTTCGAGCCCCATATTGACATGGAGATATACTGTGGATGGAAGAAATCCTGCACCACCTAAAGGATGGTTGAAACCCTATAAATAATGGGATAAACCACCTGTCAGCTGGTGCAGGATTTCTTCCATCCACAGTATGGAGGTTTCCAATCCATGGTGGTTACCCCCAAATCATCCATGTTATCTTTAGGATTTTCCATGAAATAAACCATCCAGCTATAGGAGGACCCCACTTCGGAACCCCCCCGCATCACACTGGGCTCCGGAACTCTTCCCTTGTGACACTTCCATCACCGTCCTACCGAGCGAAAGAAAGGAGAAGCCTCCTGGTGAACAAAAATATCGACATCCTGCATCATCCTGCCCAGGGCCCAAACAATATAGGTAAGTTAGTTTAGAAGCGGGCAAACTAGTTTTTGTGTTGGAACTTTAAAGTGGTGAATTTTTATGATACTTCGCTAGTTGGACGGAGATAGAATATACAATTCGACTATCCTCAAGGGTTGAAAAATCATCCCCATCAAATTGGAGGGTATTCTATGTACGCCTAGATGATTAGATTGGGAAATTGGTTGGTGCACCGTCCAGGAGTCCAGGCCCAACGAGGTGCACTTGAAATCGCCGAAATCGGTGTTGGATTGAGCAGTTGGGGGAACCAACTGAAGTTTTGGATAAGTTGGAGATTGAAAGTTCATGATCTTATCAATAACAAGAAGTATTGACATGTGTGGAAAAAAACCATCCATCTTTTCCAAATCTGCAACGAAGAGTTCTTGCCATCTTCCGGGACGCATCGTCTTATTGGTGCTAAACGTAGGGAATGGGGAAATGATCCAATCAACAACAAATAATAATCATCCCATTCCCCCATCCAAGTCATCTACGAACACCAGTAAGTCATAATGATCATCCATAATAAGCATAAAAGTTACCATTGATAATCAGAATAATTGATTCATATTGATTCCCAGTAAGTTAATTTCAGTCCCATAATAATACATTTACATACATTTACTAGGAAGACTTAGCTTATATAACTTTTAATAGTCATTTGATCACCACACGTTTCGCAAAAGGCACAGCGTCCTTGTCAAAGCTACGCCAGAGACCCTGCAAATCATCTTCTCCGAGGGATGGCCTGTGGGGTGAACCCCAACGAGTGAACCAGTGCACGAGAGAACTGATGTATACTGTATACAGTATACATGTATTGTATGTATATATATAAATATATAATATAAATACAATGTGTGTAGTATATATATATGTACATATATATGTATATGTATTGCATTGTTATTTTCCTCTATGTTTTTTTAAATATAAACTTAACATATGATATGTATTGATATGTATAGTATAACGTATATGTATAGGTGTATATACAAGAATGCAATGGCATATATAATGAATTTGATATAGCTTTGTCTGGAAATCGGCTAGACAGAAATAACTGGTTTACCAACTACCATCATTGTCCCTATTACAATGGCCATGTGGTGATATACCACACTTTCAAACAACCCATGCTATGTGCATTATGTATATTATGTATATGTACATTGTACATGCATGATATGTGCATACATATATATATATATATAATTATATACGTATGTATACACACTATATACGGTACATGCATATACAAATACACATGGAGTATCAAGATGCTACGTGGACATGGGATTACGGTACCCAAGACATCGGTAATTTGGATAATCCAAAGGATGCAAGGACAACACCATGCCCCACAACAAAATGTGCCATGACATCAATGACATCGACAAAATCCAGAAATATGATGATCATTGATGATCAAAAATGATCATTGATGATCATTGATGATCATTGATGATCATTGATGATCATTGATGATCATTGATTCTTGAAGTCTGACATTGCTCCATATCAAACAGACACATCTTACAATTCCTCGTTTCCCCCAAACAAATTCCTCCATAAACATCACCTTGACGGCTCCACGATGAGACCCTGATGGCTCTGTTGAACCATGTTGAACCTATGACATAGCACCAAGTTGGGTCAAAAATATGGGTCACTTGTGACAAGCCCCACCAGGGTTTTAAGATGTTTTAAGTCCACATCGGCCTGACTTTCATTCTACATTTGCTCTGAATCTCCTTGTTTTTGGGCTCATCTTTTGGAAAACATGTCGAAGAATTAGTCAAGTACCCTCTGGTAAACGTTTACATAACTATGGAAAATCACCATTTTTAATAGGTAAATCCACTATAAATGGTGATTTTCCATAGTTATGTTAGTTTACCAGAGGGTAGTCAAGTACCTCACAACATGGAACATTTGGAACACGTTTCCCAGAAATTCACCACAAAAAAAACCTCAGAATTCAACTCGTTTCAGATTTTTTTCGAACTCACTTTTTGTCATCACGATAGGGGGCATTCCATTTAGTAAGCGGGTTACAACCATATTCTAAGCCAGTTATATATTGCATATATCATATATCCAGGTGTGGGGAATCAACCACTTGGGATTCTGCAGATGGGATATCCCAGCTACAAAGTTACAGATGGCCGTCACAAGCCTATGGGATTTAACTGTTACTTAAAAGTATCTGGGTAAAAAAATAATGTTTAATATTTAATATTTCACTCACCTGAATTGTTGGGCCATTTGGGGATGAGTTCCCTTATTAACCATGATTTCCAGTGAGGGAGGACAGGGTTCGGTCGTTATAATTTACCCAGAAGTATGTAAAGGTTCTACCATCTGGTTATTTAACATAGCCATGGAAAAATCCACCATTTTTAATAGGTAAACTATCTATAAATGGGCCATTTTCCATGGCTATGTTAAATAACCAGAGGGTATATCCCATGGGTTTTCAACGTTTCTTACCCAACACAACTACCATTTCTTTTTTACATCCTGGGACCCCCCACTCCCACTGCTGGAAGAGAGAGCGGAAGTCCGGCCAGGACACCACGCCCTGGAGAGCATCCGAATCGTCATAGAGAAAAATGTATTCGGATAATACAGAACCCCCAGTTAGTGGGATAAGCCATGTTAACTGTTAAAAAAGTTTAGTAAGTGCATGGACTAACCCAAACTAACTGTTAGTGGGATAGGCCATAACCCCCGGTTAGTCCACCACCAAAAAAACTAGGGTTATAACTGTTATAACTGTTACAACTGTTATAAGCCATGCTCTTACTGGGATGAGCCTAGAGATACAATGAGATACATAGATATGAATCATGGAGAAAATATGTGTGATGACATAGCAATTGATGACATAATCATCCAAAATGGTTGCTTCGCTTCCAATGGTTCAGCCATTCGTGAATTCCCATCGACTCCACAGTGGGAACTCGACGTGGATCCTGGCTGAGAGCCTTTGGAAAATCAAAGGCAATGGACGATCCCTTTGGAAAAAAATGGAGGTTTCTAGCTGGAACAAAATCATCGATAAAATGATAAATTGATGATTTCCCCGTTGCCACGTTTGATAACCAGAGGGTAAAATATGCGAACAGAAGACTGTTGGTTTTTGGATGTAATGTGTGACAGTGTGGTAATTTACATCCCAAAAGTGGAAAGTCTGATTTACCAACAATAGATTAGCATTTCTGTGCCCTATTCCAGTGTGGTAATCAGACACAGAAATGGAGGTTCTCATGCAGTTTTCAGCCATGTAAGAAGCTACAAGTCATGGCCAATTTTAGATTCCCTGCAACAGCTTATCTTTTTTGGCATCCCCAGTAAAGATAGGCATCCCCAGTAATATGATATTATCTGATATTATATATATATATATATATATTATATTATATATATATATATGTATATTATATATTTATATATATATACAGATATAACATGGTAAAACATGCAACTTATTTTTCACAATAGCAACTGTAGCCTTTACCCTGGCCTGTTCCGTGGCTAAGGCATTAAAGAGCTGATCCACGTTCTGGTTCTGCCGCTGCAGCGCCAACCTTGGGAAGATGAACCTTGAATTGATGGGCCACTGGAACATGTGTCCCTGCATTGAGTGACATTTTCATGATATCCCTCTTACGTTCGCACAAATGGTTTACCCTCTGGTAAACTAACATAACTATGGAAAATCACCATTGTTAATGGGTAAATCCCTTATTTCAATGGCCATTTTCAATAGCTTTTTGTATGTTTACCAGATGGTAAATCCAATAATTTCATATTGGGATGGTAAAACCATCCCCAGGTGGTCAGTTTATTGGCTTTAAAGACATTGATGGACAAATCTTGGAAGAACATGATGTGTCATAAATGTCATCATATAATAGTTGGAATATCATTAGCAATAGTCCCTGTTAAAGGCACCTAAATTAACATCAACCCTGAACACACCAGGTCTTTTAGTCGAAACCCATCTTCTAACCCCGAAATCATGGCAGGGTATATCCCCATTATTGGTGCGAACCCAGCTGTGTTTGTTGGTTCACAAACGATACTAGACTTATATCCTCGACCCGAGTGAAATTGGAATCATACCACCTTAAGTTGGCCAGAAAAATCAGCGGTTGAAGTTTCCATCAAACCCCCATTTTCCTATGGTGAAATCCACCTTTTTCCCCATGGTTTACCCTCTGGTAATTTAACATAACTATGGAAAATCACAATTTTTAATGGGAAAACTCACTATAAATGGCCATTTTCAATAGCGAACTGTTGAATTACCAGAGGGTACACCCCCTGGCACCACCGAGCTCCGGTTCCGGGCGGTGTTCCGGGCGGTAACCCGGGCTCCCGGGCGCCATCCGTGCGATGACCTCGGCCTGTTTGGCCACCACCAGTCGCACTGAGGGTTCCATGGCGGCGAAGAACCTGTGAAAACATTGGGAGGATGGCGATGGTGAATGTTTACATTAACTAATGGAATGTTCAATATATCACCATCGTGATATTATGTTTATTAAACACATGGAAAAATGGAAAAATGGTGATATCATTAACCAATGGAATATAAACTATAATGGGATGTTCCATATATCACCATTATTGGGGATATTATGGGGATGTCAATGGAATTTTCATCTAATATTAATCGACTACACCCCAAACAAAAACCAACAAATACTGAGAAGTATCAACAATGGGATGTTTAACAAAATATTGAAGATTACAATTCATGGTGATATACTGGATGTAAAGGAACATAATGAAAAATAATGGAATATAATGGGTGATATGTGTATATATATATATATGTTACATATGATATATGATATCCATGATCAACAGTGGATGTTCATTGTTAACATCTAATAGTGGAAAAGTAACAATGGTAATTATTTAACACCGAGTATTACATTCAGTAATTACGGAATATATAATATTACAAAAATAACCATCATTTAAATTATATATTTGATTATGTGCAATATTTACCCTTCAATTTCAATAGTGCTGGTATAATAGTGATACCACGGAAAATGCATGGAAGATTCTTATGGGATGTAAATGGGAGTTAAATCGCAATTGAACATCCTAGATAAATGGGGGTTTTCAATCGGTGGATGTTCCATTGGCATGTTTGATTAGGTAGTACAGCTAAATACCCTTCAAGAATGGTGGTATAATGGGGATGTAATGGGATATTGGTGGGATATTCATGGGACATGTATGGGATATGAATGTAATAATGGAATGTAAAGTGGGATAGACTCATCAACATTGGTGGAATATGGTGGTGGTAATGCGGATTAAACAATCAGAAATGGGGATTTCACAAACAAACATGTATTGGCTGTGCATTGGAGATATTATCGGCATGTTAGTGGACTATTAATCGAATATGCCCCCAAGAATATACCTAAATGGTTAGTCCAATGAAAAGCATATGTTTAATATTGATATTCAAATACCAGGTGGGGGATTTAGCACTTGCACTTTTAAACAAAAAACATGAGGATTTAAACAAACGAAAGTTGTGGTATAACAGAGATTTGATGTGATTTTGTCTTAATGGTATATTCGAATAACATGTATGAAATATCGATGGATCGTAATAAAACATGTTTTGCTGGACAATCACCCGTTTACTTCGATGAAGATTCTCTTAGTCATGGGCCATTTGGCTTGTAGAATTTTGTAGAATCAATGGATTGGTTGAAGGGAACATTTACAGGAAATCCCCATGATCTTCATGGGAAAATCGGATTGGTTTCCGGTTAAGATTTTCCCAACAAAACCAATCCATTGATATTTTCATCACCATAGTTATAAGTATCATAAACCATATATAACAACCATTAACCATGGATTTCCTGGAAACAAAGATCTAGCCAGTAGAGATTAGGATTCAATCAACGGTTGGATGCGGATGGATTTGGGCACCGAAAAAAACAAGAATATTTTGTTATATTAAATATCTAATATATCATCTATTATTTTGATATATTATTTTGATATATTAGATATATTAGATATAGATGATATTAGATGATATTAGATGATGATATATTAGTTATTTAATATATATATATATAATTTAATCTAATAATAAAATTTATATAACTCGAATTGACACGTCAATTGAGCCATCGTCCCCATCAATACACCCTCCCAACACTAAGCTTCCAACTCTTCTTTGGTGATGCTACCATCGCCGTCCTGCGGCTTCGGAAGCGATGAATACCCGCCAAGGGTCCGGCAGTTTATACCTAAGTTGGGACTTATCAATTCAATCAGTGGGATTGATTTAGAAGCAATATATTGACGTAATATCAATATATATATATATATGTATGTATACATTACATAAATAATTATATATATATAATGCTATATTATGTATATATTATACCAACTTAAAACTGGGGCGGAGGCACCACATTGTATGCCCTGCCACGTGTATGACTTGTTTCTGGAGCTTCTCTATCTACTGAGATCGCCGGCCAGTCACGCACCTTCCAGCAGGGAACAGCAGGGAGATCTGTCATCAGTGGCTATCATCAGGTACATCTCATTGACTAGTCCATCAACTATTGATTGATCCCAGACTTTGATCATTATGCCATATATCATATATTATACCATATAACATATATCATTGGTTTATCATATAATATTATCATTGGTATATATTTGGTTTATCATATATAATATATTTGGTATATATCATTGGTTTATCATATATTATACCACATATAACATATATCATTCACCAATATAGTCTAAGAACTTAGATTGGATATGGGTCAAGTTGAAGCTGAGGGACCACAGATTCAATTCTTGGCCCCATTTTTTTTCGTTGCAATCCATCATAGCCAAGCTCAGGTTTAGCCGGCGACATGGCCGATGATAGCATTTCTGAATATTCACACTGATAGCAAAACAGGGTGTAAGAGATTGTATACTATCCACCCATGGTTCACCCAGCATTGGCCCAGGCCAAAAAAAAACCGGCCCACGAGTTGTCCACTTTTCTGTCCTTGTCGAAGTCTTTCCACAGGGATTCCAGGTCGCTGGCAGATAAGGATGGCCTTGGAGTTGACATCAAATGTCTCAGGCATGGTGAGCAACCGGGTGGGCTAGTCCAACGGCAGCATCAACCATAGGGTCGAAGAACAGAAATACAGGGGACCAGTGGATCAAGTTTGAACAAATACACCCACAATCAGCGAAATTCCCAGTGCTCAGCTCGTGCTTCGACCATGTAATTATATAGATTGATTGATTGATTAGATTAGATTAGATTCGATTAGATTTAGATTAGATTAAGATAAGATTAGATAGATGAATTGTATGAAATTAGGCTGCCCTAAATCCATAGGCCCATCATCATTGTCCCGATTTCAATGGCCATCTGGGATTATTTAGGAGGTTTTACCAAATTTTCACGCACAATCATAGAGTTCATGGAGTTCAGGATGCGCCACGGAGGTGTACCGTACCTGATGTGGCCAATTGTGGCCACCAGCTCCAGCTCACCGAATCCAGGTGGTTCAGGCGGGGTATGTGGCATCGCGCAACCTCGATGGTCGCCTGGATGTAGACGCCATGGGAAAAAGCATGCTGCTACAACGTCGTGCCCCCCCAGTTATCTGCGTTGTTGGTTGATAAACCCGATTAACTACAATTGGATTCAGATATAGCTACCAGAAAAACCTTTGTCAAACATAAAGTTAACCATGGTTGACCGGATAAGCATAGTTAATCACAGTTAAAACGTGTTAAACATTATTAAATATAGTTAACTAAGCTAGATATAAAACCAACTTAACTACCTATGGGGCACAGCCTGCCATCCTGCAACCAAGCGACTCCAGCTGCAGGAACAGGGATTGGAAGTCGGTCCACTGCACCCTGCCCTGGTACCACGCTGGAGGCTGGAGCGGCTGACCGCTGGACCATGGCTTTTTTTCCCCATCAACAATTGGGGGGAATTGAGGTGTCAACAATTCCAATTCCAACTACAGGAATTGTTGATGGGGATTCCCAAATTTGTATCATATTGTAGAATTCCAACATATTCCAGTTCGTACCAATTCAAAATTCCAGTTCCAACAATTCCAGTTCCAATTACAATTCCAGGTACCATATTTGGGAATTCCTGGAATTCATGAATCTGTATTGTACCTGGATCATCTGAATCAGCTGTGTCATGGCCATCTTTCTGCCGACATATCACCGTGGTTTCAACCCATATCGAAAACGCTTCTGTCATACCCATGGAACTGCTTGACGGATTCCCATCAACCAGAACGCAAACAATCTATGCAATGTCGATCGTAAAGCTCCAGGAAAAAATCTTGACCCTCCAACTTTATCCATTTCTTGGGCTCCGATCCAGAAAAATGTCTCATTTACCCTCTGGTAATTTAACATAGCTATGGAAAATCACCATTTTTAATGGGAAAATCCACTATAAATGGCCATGTTCAATAGCTATGTTAGTTTACCAGAGGCTATTTTGCAAAAAACAACTCCCCAGGGACTTCCCCAGGGACTTCGCTGCCTCCGCAGATGCCAATGCTTCGAAGAGCGCAAGCACCGTCTTGCCCTGACGGAAGATGGTCGACCTGAGCAAAAAACAACTGGAGATGGCACCAGAATAGAAACATCGTCAAGATATAAACGGGAATATTTGATGGGATATGTGAATATCATATGTCACTATAGTAACTTGGTATGGGAATATATAACTTGGTATGATGGGATATGTGGAAAAGCAATCTGAAAAAACATCATACCAAGTTGTTTTTTGAGATGTGAATAAACATATAGGAATGCTTAGGATTGTATTTATAGCCATTATCCCCAAGATTAATCAAAGGTCACAAGGAAAGAGACGAGCACCGAAGTCACGTAGTTCATCTAACCCTTCAGGATGCGTCATCTTCGCGGATGGGGAATTTTCGTTGTCCTGATCCAGAGAGCTTGGGTCTTTGAAGCGTCCGGTTACAAGGGGCTACCCTCTGGTAAACTAACATAGCTCTAGAAAATACCCCATTTATAGTTGATTTTCCCATTAAAAATTGTGTTTTTCCATAGTTATGTTAAATTACCAGAGGGTATTTCCCAAGCTAAGCTGGACTGTTCAGGGCGATGTTGGCGTTCCATTCTTCATAGAATGCCAAGATCGTGAAGTACCGGTCGTCCATTTGGCGCCACGCATGGCCTCTGTCATTTCCCTGCAAGTTTCCAGATCCACAGGATGAATCATCCTGTGTTTACAGTAACCGGCCGGTGGGCAGGTGACACATGGAAAAAAAAACTGATCTTTGCATGACCAAACTGACATTCACAGCCAAAAAAATAAATGCTTCGCTCGCTGGTAGAACAAATCTACTATTTACGGCAAAGAAATTGGTTAATATAATAGAGTATCATATTACCCAACCCAGCTTTACCAAGTGAGTGAATCATGGGGAGAACACCCATCACTGGAAATGTAACTGTTTAGGACTTTTGTAGGGAACCCCTGGGTGTTTCCAGCATGTAAGTGCACTTGATTAGGTTTCAGGAGAAATTGCAAGGAAAACCTTGCAATCTAATTGTCCTTTTCAAATCCATTCAGGAAACCAACCCAAAAACATCCGCAAACATCCAGCTCAAAAATCATGGGAATGTCACCAAGCAGAAACCATTTAGAAGATCCCACATAGGTGACATACCCAACCACAAATAGACCAGTTCAACATAGGGATATTAATCATACCCAAATTTGCATATCGCTGATGCGACGACAGATGCCTCCGACTGAAAAAATCGGGATGGAACTTACGAAACTAAGAACGGAGAGGGAACGATGTTTTACTCTACTTGAAAAGAGATGATCGAGATATAACCACAACCAAGAAAGGGACAATATCTATACTTGGTGGGTATATAATGGTATATTATCTATACTATAATTATCTTGTTATGATACTATACTAACAAGAGCACGTGTTTTTTTAGAAAAATATACCCTGTAAGACTTGGGATCATGATGCCCGGTTTTTTTACGTACACAACATCAGATATACAGTCAGAGAATATTCATGGCTGTGAAATCCCCGTCGCCAGGACACACATCAAATTGTCAAAGGCAAGACTTCAACCCAGGTATTTGGAGACTACCATACCCAAAAAAAATGGCATCATAGATATGGAAAACCCACCCTTGGATTGCCATCGGTAGGTCATTTTCCCAGCGGAAACCCAGGGGAACCACTGGATTTCCATAATGATTTTGTGGCTGCGCAGGATACCTATGACTTGGCAACCCGTGACGCAAAAACTTGCGTGTTTTTTTGATGTTGGGGAATTCATGTAAGTAAAACCAATTGCAGAAACCATCCCCCAGGAAAATCACCATTTTAAGAGTTGGTATGTTTACCATTCCCAGTCATGGGTGGTTTATGGTTTTACGGTTTTGCCATGTTCTACCCAGAGTATTGGTGACAGAACACCTTCCACAGAATCTGGGTGACTCTCCCGCCAAGTGGCGCAAGCTGGAGGCAAATCTCTGGGGCCTGACATGTTCGCCATCAGCGGGAGCCCCAAGACACCATAGGGTTTTAATACTCAAACGGTCGAATGACTTGGATGATTTGGGGCAAGTGAAACTGGGATGTCAATAGTATATATATATATATAGAAATCGATATCAATACCAACGGAGTACTAATTAATCTACAATATTGCGAATACCAAGGTATCAATATTATAATATTAAGATATATTAAGGTATCAATACCATGCATGAAGGGTATTACAAAACAACGAATGGTCTTGTTGTCGCAGTCTATGTGGTTGCTGTTGGAATCATCAATCCCCAAGACATCAACATCAGCACCCTTTCCATTTTGGTAGATGGAAAGTCAAAAAAGTATCTTCTTAGCATTCTGAACCCCCCAAAAAACAACAGCATTCAGACATTTTGATAGGTTCTAACATGTTCTAACCATACTAACTACACCCTTTCTGGCTGCAGATATGCTGACTAAAGGTGATATAGAGGCCACCCAACTGAGAGCACCACTGACATAATATTCAATCATGGGGGTTCATTGTGGAAACCATTGTTAAAATTGTAGTTTATTTTGGGGCATCCCCCTTCTCAGGATGATTTCATCTATTCCCCAACATTGTTCATAGTTGGGGATGCTGTTTATCTGGTTGGTGGTTGAGCCACCCATCTGAAAAATATGAGTTCGTCAGTTGGGATTATTCTTCCCAATATGTGGAACAATTACCCTCTGGTAAATTAACATAGACCCTGGCAGATAGGGGTTGGAAGACTAGTTTCCATTAAAAATGGGTGATTTTCAGGGTCTATGTTAATTTACTGGAAGGTAACATGTTCCAAACCACCAACCAGTTATTGTCGAGGATCCAGAATTCCTGTTTCGGATTCGAACCCAGCCAGCAGCTGCGACAACCGCCCCGCCTTCTTCTCTTCGGTCTTCACGGACCTCAACAGTGGCAAATGATAACTGGGAACCGGGGGTTCTGGTTTGATATGGACGATTTTTTGGATAAATATGGATTGATATGGATGAATAATGAAGAATAATTGGGATATCATAGATGTTACAGTAAGTGGAAATAATCAGGGATGAACCTCAAACCATACCCACCCCAAAACAAATGACTTCCCAGAAATGTGTGGGATGGAAAGGAGCTTTTATGGCATTGGGGACCAACTGCTGAAGCAGTGGCCAAGACATGCCAAGACCCTTCTGACTTCCCACGATTACTTGTTGGTTGCTGGAATAGTTACTAGGTCAATAGACATGAATCTAATAAATGGCAGCATGATTATCAATGATAACCGATAAAACAAACATAACTGGGGAGTTTGGCCCCTTATGACTCCTACTGAAAGGGGAACAAACTGTCCCCGCTTTGGCCAGTCCGGACTGGCTCACGTTTCCGGCATCGGGGGATGAGAATGCCAGATCTAACATACGCACCGTACGTATCAGGCATTCCCCGTTGAACACTAGCATGGAACGCTACAAGTACTGCTTCTAGGTACTAAAAATCATCAAAAATCAAAACCAAAGCCAAATGGGTTACAATGTTTTGGGATGTCCACCGTGGTTTTCGGGAGTCATCTGGTTTGTGGTTTCAACCATCTTGAAAAATATTATGTAGTCAATGGGAAGGATTATCCCACATATTATGGAAAAATAAAACTCTAGTCTGGCAATCGATTTTTATAGATCTCTTGCTGAAACGGTGGCATCTAGCATGCCAGGTTTGATGACCAAACAGTAGACTGTAAATGGTGGCTCATCCCACTTGGTAAGTTGTTTATAATATACCAACTGGTTATGACTAACATAGCCATGGAAAATCACCATGCTATTTATAGGTAAACCATCTATTTCGATTAGGGCCATTTATACCATGGCAAACTGTTAGTCATAACCAGAGGGTAACAGGTGGAGGAAAACCCTACTGATCCCACATTTATAAGTGGGTCCCTGGGTTAATCATCCACTGACACTAAGTCTTATGAGCCACCAATTGTGTATTGTATTCACAAATACTTGCTGATCAATCATGATAAATCCAAAAATCCCAGGTGCTGAAAAATCCCAAATGCCTGGTGGAATCCCATGTGGTTGTCATCAAATCCACATTCTTGATGGTAGAATCATGGAAGCTCACCATGCTTGATGGTCCTGGGGGCACACAAATCCAATTTCCAGATATGTCCAGCAAATTTTCTTGATATTTCACTCCAATTTCTCAAGATCTCTCGTGAATCCACTCTTCCATTGGTTTTCCATAGGTTTCCGCTGGTTTCCCATAGGTTTTCCATAGGTTTTCCATAGGTTTTCACAAGCGCCTCTGAGAGGCCCCAACCCTGACTGCAAAGCTCTTTGGAACTCCTCCCGACTCACACTTCCGTCTCCATCCTGGCTTTTGGCGTGTGATCAGCATGGTGGTCGTTGTGATGAAAAACCCATCAAGAGAAATAATTTCAAGTAGATTTCACGAAAATTCATCATCCACAATATATAATACGGACTAAACATGGATTCCTGGATGTTCAAGGAAACCATAAATCCAATGGATTGGTTCAAGGGGAAATCTTAACCGGAAACCATCGATTTTCCCATAAAACATACGGGGTTTTTCCTGTAAAATTTCCCTTAGTCCATTGATACACGGGATTCCTTCTAATGGCTATATTAAAAAAAAAAGATTCATGGCCAGATGACCAGCCCGGAAGAATAACCTGAAAAAAGCCATCGGGGGATGCACATGATGAACATCCATGGCTATCTCACCAGAAATCATCGTCACAAATAATGATGGTAGTGGTATATAACTAGTAATTAAATCATGGTTATTATCAGAAATCATCGTCAAAATAATGGTTATTTTATTTAAAAAAAACTAGAAAAAACTCAGGTTGTTTCATTTACGATAATCACCATCTGTTATCTTATGTTCATGTTTATAAACAGAAATGCAATTTCAAAGTAATATGAATCATACATCATACAGTATGTTGTTTTGAATATGTTTATCTATCATCTACTTTGTCATCGTACATAATTTTAATGACAATAATGATCATCCACAACATCTCATAATGTGTGTTTCTTCATTATGATTGCACCGAACATTGGAATCACAAGCACAATAACTGGTTGGTGGTTTTAACCATCTTGAAAAAAGTCAATGGGAAGGATGATCCCATATATTATGGAACATAATCCAAATGTTCCAAACCACCAACCAGATAATTATTGATGATTATGCCATGGTATGACCACTATTACCATCTTGGTGCCCTGACAAGCCCCCCGGCCTTGTCAAAGGTTCGCCACAACATCTCCAGTTGTTGACGCGTGAGATTCGGCCTCGACTGGGAACCCCTGGGGAGCTGATTTTTTCTCCCTTGGATTGACGGGAAAACAGGTCACTCAAAGCGCTCAAACGTGTCACTTCTGAAATCCAAAATAGAATTTAAGGCTACCAATCAAATACCAATATGGGGATGGGTCAAAACCCTGGTACCGTGCCGTGAACCCCAAAATAGCTGGGATTTATGGATGTTCATCCCACTAAAAATGTATCTATAGGTATTGACCCATACCCATATCATCCAATATCTAATCACACATACCCTGCCACCTGCCCCTATTTTTTGAGCTGTTTTTTGACATGTTCCCACCATTGATCATTCAACACCAAGCTGTAAAAGTTTATAAACACTTTTTCTCATAAGCACAAAAAACAACAACAAACCAAAGTCTATCAATCTGGGAAAACTATAGTAATTCACTAACCTGAAATAAGCACTTTTGGGGATGATTCCCCTTATTAACCATGATTCCAGTGAGGTCGCAGTGAGGTCGTTATAATTTATCCAGATCAATATGTGTCTTAAAACCAAGAAAACCGAACAAACCTAAACTCACTCAGAAAAACTAAGGGATGAGCTCTAGAGCTTGGAAGAAATCCGCGAAATCCTTCCACTGCACTGTGCTCCTGACAGGACTTTTACTGGCACATACAGAGTTTTTCCATCAAGCATCATGGGATTTCAAAGATGTTCATAGCGTGCGCCACAAAATCCTGCCATTGTGCGAACTGTCTCAGGATTTTAGTGATCACCAATCCCCTGGATATCATGGTTTGATATGGGTTAAAGTGGGGCCATGACCATGGATAATCATGGATAAGCATTCCCCCTACTTTACAGTTGGTTTTCCCAACCATGTTCATATTCAGCAAGTCCTCCAGATTGGGTTCTCCAGATTCTAATTGAGCTGTACGGTAGTCACAGGATGTACTTGGTGCACCGCTCGTCACGAAGTAGGATATGATCATCCAAGTACTCCAAGAATCATCTCAGTAAAGCAAAAAAAGCAAGGTCATTATAGGTCATTGCCAAAAAATATATGTCAATATGTGTACTATATAGAACATATTCTCAAAATTCGAACATATTCTAACCAATACTGGAGCCCCCAATGATGCTTTGCTCCCTTTGGAAAACAGACGAAATTCAATTCGTCCTGGATTCAGCGAGGGCATCGAAGAGCTGAGATACAGACCTCGCTGGGAAAATTATTCACATATTATATGTACTAGTATATTCTGGTATAAGGAATTTAAAGTTATATTCTGGTATCAAAATATACTAGTTATTTTCTGGTATAAGGAATTTAAAGTGAAAATTCCCAGAATTACCCTCTTGTAAACACACAAAAAACTATGGAACATCACCATCTAAAGATAGGTAAATCAACTATTTCTATGGGCCATCTTCAATACCGAACTGTTAAATTACCAGAGGGTACCTTTAGTCATTCAAAGAATCCAAAGAATTTACGTTTAGTCATTTTTGGTGGAATTTCGCTGTCCGAATTTGGATTAAATCAGTTACTGTAGTTGCACCCTTTCAGGAGACTCATAGTCTTGGACAACTTGGGAATGTCGTCAATATCTGTAAGATCACCAAATCTCACGTTGGAAACGCTAAGGTCTGCCGGGAAAGCAAGAAGTGCATTCACAATATCTTCCCTTCTTCCCTGATGAGTTTATACCAATCAAGGTTTCTCTGAAAATAGGGTACCCCCATTCCATCCATTGGTCAATCATCATTTTCCCTACTTAATAGCTATAATTAGGGGTATACATCATTTTCAGACAAACCCATCAGTCTGAATCATCCATTTTAATAGTATGTTCCATTATAAACCATCCATTTTGGGTAATTATATACCACCATGTATGGAAAATCATCCATTTAAAACAAACATCCATTATACACCACCCGTTTTGGGGTACCTCCCATTTCTGGAAACTCCCAATGGTGTACCCATAAGTTGTGCAAGTCCAAACCGGTGGCAACTGGGCTGCCCACTTTCCCTCTCGTGCCAAAGCCACAATGACGCGGGAGCAAACCTCCTGGACAGGCTGAGTTTCCAGCGGCGCAACCGGTGCAACCTCATATTTTTTTTTACGAAAATAAAATGTCAGTTACAAAAAAACACACATCACCATCTGATATCATCCAATATTGGGGGTTATTAATGCATATTAATGATATTAATCAACATATTGGGGGAAGGCTGGTATATTAATCTGATATTATCCAATTGTATCCCCATTGACATGGCCATATTGGCACCTATTCCCCGATGATTTCCTGCTTTCCCATGGTTAATACACATTTTTGCAGCTTAAATCTCCATTGTGACTTGAAGCGTTTCCCGTTCACCGATAAAAACCGTTCCGTTACTGGAAAGTGGATGGAGGATGGGATGGAGGATAACCTCCGTTCAGTATAGATATCTCGATTGCTATATCTACATCCCACCATTATGTATATATATATATGTATACATGATATTTTTGTCCCATGAATATCTCATTCAAATCCTCATAAGACTGGTGAATCCTCATAAATGATCCCCACAATGACAATGATAGTGGATTTATGGGTAAAAATGCGTTAATCATTAAATACCACAACATATGATTTAACTATACACTATAGATATAATCCACATTTCACCATTGTCATTCATGGTAATCCATTCTAATCCACTATAATCCCTTGCTATAATCCAATTATAATCCACTCCCGTGTTATAACTAGATAATTATAGTCATAATTTTGCAAACAAAACATTGCCAAAAAATATGATAATCATCATATCATTACTATAATAATGAGAGTTGCTTCATATCCCTATGGATCCAAACACTGCCTGAGAAGGTACTTAACCCTCCAAATTATAGTAAATTATACCCCAAACACTTACTGAGAAGGTACTTGGATCCATAGGGTCAGAGGGTTAACCTCCATTTTCCTATGGTTTTCCTATGGTTTTCCCATGGTTTTCCTATGGTTTTCCTGTTCATTGCCTTTCCCCCTTAATGAACAAACCCTACGGTGTCGCCGCTGTCGCCGGCCTCGCCTGCGCCACATCTTCCGCGGCGCTGCTCACGGCTCCCAGCGCCAGCTTGAACTCCGCGCGCGAGACGCCGCCGTCCTGGCCAAACTCTGGAGATGTGCGTCCCAGGCATTACAAGTTGGCAATATATATATAATATATAATATGTATGTATGGATGTATTGTATGTATGTATGTATATATATATATATACTGTGTAAATACTGTATATATATATACATATGGATTATATATAAATATGGAGAATATATATATATATCGATGTGCATGCGATAGAACTATTGTGTTTAAATACTGGGTAATAATTATACCCAAGTGATGTGTTTATATATATATACATACACAATTATATATATATACATATACATATACATACAATACATATGTATATATGGATTGTGTATATATATATATAGGATTCATAAACCACTTACGATTCCTTGGATGCACAACTACATACAAGTGGAATATTCCCAAGTACCCAGCAATTACTGATCTATGTTGTTCAACATGGCAAGGATAGAAGCAGTAATGGATAAACATATGAGACATGATATTGGAAAAATACTGAAGTATAATGTTGGAACAACATGAGAAAATAATTACTGATGATAATTCGTATCAATGAGATATAAAAGCCATTGGACAATAAAATTGGAACGTATTAATGACTGATACATGATAACATGGATTCTCACAGCAACAATCATATGTATATACGTATATATATATATATATACATACATGATAATTGTCATCTTTCACAGTACATTGTAATCAGCGCATGTTGAATACAATGAGACTTTATGATGATATTGAGCAGAAGTGTACAAAACGATGATAGAAAAATGACGACAGAATATTCTGGACATGAGGTGTTGCATAGCAAAACGTAGGTTTTTAACATTTTTTAACCCATCATCTATGGGCTAGATTCTAGATTTTGCTTCTGGGTTTCGTACGGGAAAAGCAAGTCTATGATAATCGACTATGCCTTTGGGTGGCGACTGAGTTCCCCAAGCCAACTCATGCTGTAACACGGCTGAATGACTATGGGTCAAGTCAATTCAAGTCACTGATGTACCAACACCCACAATTGAGCCACTAAAAATACCCCTATCCCATCCTATTCTACAAGTACTAGTTGGTTGATATAGGTTTCCTATGCTAAATCCTTTTATGGATGATCAAAATTCCCAATCAATTGGGTAGTATAAGTCCCTATATCAACCAATCAAACAGGCTAGAACTAGATTCATTTTTTGGGGGATGGTCTCCCTGAAATCAGGGTGCAACGGAAGGACGTCACCCCGTTCCGCGCACCCCGTTCTTGTCGAAGTGGCGCCACAACTCCTCCAGTTGTCGTTCCTCGGATTTCAGCCATCAGCGAATCAGGCACACAGCTCCCGAAGTTTCAATGGAAACATCTGGAAAAAAAACATGTTGGTTGAAGCAAAAACTCATCTTCCACCTCCAGCCATGTCATCAATTTTCTATGTCTGCCATTGAGTCATTTAGGCACTGCTGCCTCCATGGCACCCCTGAGATCCCCTGAGGCGACTGACGGAAAGGTTCGGTTCCAGCTGAGCAAAGAGGCCGCGGAAGTCGGACCAAACGACGTCTGCTTGGCCTCGCGCCTCGATGGGCTGTGTCTTGAGTCGGACTATAAAAATGTATCTAGACCATAATATATACAGTATATATATATACATATGGCTATGGATCAATACCTATAGATACAGTTTGTTAGGGGATGAACATCCGTTTGCCACCTATTTTGATGTTCACCAGGGCTACATGGTTTTGACCCATTCCCATATGTGTATATATATATGGTCACCGACAGAATTATGGAAATGGAAAAAAGGTTCGGCATGGGCCAGCAAACAACTGCGGCGCGCCGGGGCCGTATTTTTCCATAATTCTTTTTTACTGATAAAAATGCACACATCAAGATTACGTAATATTTGGTAATCTGAACCTTTTTGGAAGGGGCGTGACGTGCCGCAGTTAAATTTCCATATATTTTTTTTCCATGTGAGGGTGTTTCTTGGCATATGACCATTTCCATAATTATTTGTTTCCTGAAAGGGGTGACAACTTTTCTATTGACATGTTTCCATAATTCTTTTGGCCATGGCTACAGTGCATGATTATGGCTACAGTAGCATCAGTGGGAGATCAAAATAGACATGTGGAGGAATAATTTCACATGTACCCCTTAACACTTTCCTCAGTTTGTTGCCTTGTAGGCCCAACCCTGAGCACTGAAAACCCTGACTTCTCACAGGGGATGGGCGACTGCCGCAAGAATTTTCTCCCCATAATCCCGCAGGATGTAAGTTTCTGAAAGTCTGCACAAATGGCAGCGATGACCATGCACCCATGGGGCAGCCCAACATGACAACATGGTTTCTATAATTTTCCCCAGAGTAAGACCTGGGGTGGCTGAAAGTAGGTGCCGATAGGCAAGACAAGGTTGATGATCATTGGATACCTGTATTGAAATACACACACATATTATATATATATATATTTATATATTATGGATAAATTTACACATATCTCCAGCCAAGGAGCTGCCCCAAATCACAATTCCGAATTATATATGTATGTAAGCCTACGAAAAGGTGCCTACGGAGGAAGAGCATGCTGTCCATGGAAAGACTCTTCGCTACCTCAAAGGCCATCATCGGCAATACACAATGCAATTGGATTTGATGGACATTGTCTGCAGAGGTTTTTTTCTTCGAAGGCCATACGTGATGAAAACAAAATTATGGAAATAGATGAAATCACATGTTTATACTATTATATGTTGTCAGATCACTCCTCTGCCTTTGAATTCAGGAGCAACCACTTGTTGTGGCGGGTCCAGGCCCATGTCTTGGCCTCCTCAAAGCCTTGTTCGCCATGGAAAGTATGGGAACCATGAACATCTCCTGCCGATTTGGGGTACCAAACTTGGTAGCGCGGAGCGCTGCCCGCTGGCCACCACCGCTGCATCCGGCAACCTTTCCTGGGGGGAAGCAAGCTGCCATAGTCCGAGTGGGAGAAATTGACTCGGGTCCAACTCTTTTCGCCGCCTGATTTCTTTGCATCAAAGACAACCCCCTGGAGATAGGTGGTCACATCATCGCCACTCACGCCTGCGCTGGCAGGAAGAGCGGATAACATGGTCTGTGTATGTAGTACATGCTTGATATATGTGTCAATTTCCATAATTCTTTTGGAATCACACATTCCATATATATATATACATATATATATATGTATATATATATATATATACATACATATATAATATATATATATGCGCCAGTTTGGGTTGCAGGAATCTTTCTACCTATAAAGGGCGGATAAGACTGTATGCGTATATATGTAGTACATACCTATATAGTTTATACGTGCATTTCCATAATTCTTTTGGGACCACACATTCTGTATATGTGTATATATAAATTTGTATGCGCCAGTATGGGTTGCAGGAATCTTTCTACCTATAAAGAGCGGATAAGACTGTATGTGTATATATGTAGTACATACCTAGTTTATATGTGCATTTCCATAATTCTTTTGGAACCATACATGTTGGAGTTTTTCTACCTATGCATGACCATACGCATGTAAGAGTTTTCATGCCATAGTTAACATCTACCTTTTTATCTACCTTTTTGTACCTATTTCGCATACATGTTGGACTTTTTCATGCCATAGTTAACATCTTCCCCCTTGCGCCCCTAACCCCTTGAGTGCCATAGACTGCATTCAAGTTGCGAAGATGCATTGCTGATGGGGAAACCAAAGCTTGCGTAAGAGTGAAGAAGTGGACCCCTTTCAGGCTAGCAATCCAGTCTGGCATGGAGTCTTCATCCAGAGCCACATCTTCTGGATTCTCTCCATCGTCTTCCTCCTCGCCGGGCTGTTCACCAGCATATGCATGCTTGCCACCCTCCGCGTACATACCGTCCACTTCCTCATTTGGGTGCTCTTCCTCACCGTTTTCTTCTTGATCCGCCCCATCAGCTGCCAAGATCTTTTGATCAAAGTCCTTCTTCTCGGAAATGCGCATCCACGAAGGAACTTCTTCGCCTGGCATCGTCTCTGCAATGTCAAACTGCCTGACGCGGAGTGGCCGCCAATCACCGTCCCCGACCCGCAGCTGCAGCTCATCCTCCTGGATAGTCATTGCGATCTCCTTGCTTTCCATGCCCTCGTAGGGAAAACAAAATTATGGAAATCACATCCAAATCAAAATTGAAAAATGTTTCTGTTTGAGCTTTCGGGGACCTAGGAAAAATTAACTGGTTTCCCGCAAAAAAAGGAAGTGTTGCTCCATACTTGGACCAGCTTCCAGCAAGATACCATGTTTCACAAGATATCCCCTGCTGACCGAAGAAGGATGGGTGATCTGACATCTTTGTGCTTGGTCCAGAACCAATCGTCGAGTAGAGTTGTCCACCCAAGCATCATACAGTTTCTGCTGGCTCGGAGTCAATGGCTTAGGGTGGCGAGCCATTTTCTTCTCCTCCCAGTTCTGCTGCTCCGTTCGCCAAAGAGCAATGCAACATTCAATTGGCATTGAGAACCAGTGGGGCAATGCAATCATGCCATCTTTTCCGGTGTCCACGAACCAGAGATGGACCCTTTCCCCTGACAGGAACTGGCCATCTGGAATCTGAATTTTCTTGTCCTCCCCAAGAATGTGCAAAGCTGGTAGTTCTTTCCCTTGGATGTACTTGGTGAGACTTCCTGGTGGCATTGGGGATAGAAGCTCAGATGCTTCTTTGATGTTCCCGTTGAAAAGCCACTCGGCGATCTCATTCACAGTGCTGTACCCCCTGCTGCTCCATGCCCATAGAATCAACTTGCCTCTTTCGTACTCTCGAATGGCCTGCAATGCAAATGCATCGCTCTCAAGGGAAACAGGAAGGGCGAGATGAAACTTGACATCTCCACTGTTGTTGATTTCATAGTCTTCCTTGCTCTTTGCATGCAGGGCGTTTCTGTTCCAGCCTAGCGCAATGCGCTGGTAGCCTTGTCTCAAGAAGTGAAAGTTCTGATGCACCCCCCCGTCGTTGGGGGCTGCACAGCTTCCTAAGCCACCTGCAGGGTATTGCAGGGTGCATTAAAAAACTTTTGGCATTGCGGGGTCGAAGTATTGTGCCCTATGCACGTGGCATTGCTAGAAATATGTTTTAAGTATTAAATTATTCGGCAAATATGTACAATTTTAACATTTCAATATGTCACAAAAGCAGCTTTTTCTGGGTTACAAACTATTTAAAAAAAACACTTCCATAATTCTATGGATTTCCATCTATAGGTGCTTGTTTTGTATTGTGCCCTATGTATATAAGCACCTCTGCATGCAAGTCACTATGAATGTTGAATGTATGTGCATGTGTGCATGGATTATGTTTCCGGTGGTTAGGATGCAAGTTTCATGTTTTCCCCTTCGACCATCCCCCCCACCTGGCACATCAGGGAGATCAGCATCTCCTTTCACACTTCCCAAGATCACCGCATTGTTTTCTTGGCACCACAAATCACGTGGTGTTTTGTATGTTGGATTTCGGTGCTGATCTGCATCGTCGCATATGAAGAGCGCAGTGTGAGTGGCATCCAGCTGCAAATCGGTCCGGCGTTGTCTGAGCTCCTGAGGCTGTGTGCATGGGCACATGGTCACCCCGGATATGTAGCCTTGCAAGGGTAAACAGCAATGATGGGCAAATCTGCGTGTGCAACTTATAGGGGGATTAGTTACTAACTGAATGAGCACTAAAATCATCAAAATTTCCATGGACCTATGTACATCTAGTGGCCATGGTCATAGTTGGTGGTTATAGTTGCTAGCTACATGTATTTCCATAATTCTTTTGGGCCCCAAGTACTGGGTCGATCACGGTCCCCCAAATCGATACTGCAGATATAGCCTGGGTATGCCTGGGTAATTGAATGATTGCCAAAATCATCAAAGTCATCCTCATATTTGCTACATATCATACCCACATGGATTTCCATAATTCTTTTGGTTCCCAAGTACTGAAGTACTGGGTTGAAAATGGTCCCGCCATGGATGCTGCAGACAGGGCCTAGATAACTGGATGAATAACAAAATTATCCATATGTATTTCAATGGGCCTACTTGTAGTGGGGGATTATGATCCACCAAAACGACTTGCAGATGTGGCCTAGGGATGAACAAAATCATCAATATTTCAATGGTCCTATTATATACATCTAGTTGGCCATGGTCATGGTTGGTTGGTGGTCGTATTTATTTCTGTAGGTGAAACATGGATTTCCATAATTCTTTTGGGTCCCAAGTGCCGGTTCAAAATGGTCCCGCCATGGATGCTGCAGACAGGGCCTGGGTAACTGGATGACAGGATGACTAACAAAACCATCCGTATGTAGTATGTATCCCAATCTCAATGGACCTACATTTAGTTGGCCATGGTAGTGCTGGTGGCCGTATCTACTTCTGTAGGTACGACATAGATTTCCATAATGGCCTTGGTCCCAAAATACTGGGCTGACTGATTGTGGTTCACCAAAAAATTGTAGATATGGTCTAGGGATCAACAAAATCATCAGTATTCCAATGGAACTACATGTAGTTGACCATGGTCAT